ACCAAGATATTTTGGAGAACTATTGTAAATCAGAATGAAAGATACAGAATATTTTAATATAATTAAAATTTTACTACTCATAAATATGCCTACATTGAATACAAAATAATTGGCACTATGAAGAGTAAATGCTCATCAGGCAATTATGAGACCTCTGCTCTTCAGTTTATTAAATAATATCAGATGTGGCAATCAACAGTATCCCAAAACTGAATTTATTTTCACAAGACCAGAAACAATAGAAACAATCCTTTTAAATTTAAATTTAATTTCATTTTTGAGGTGTATCAAACCTAGGGCCTCACAGGTTAGGCAAGCACTCCATCACTGAGTTGTTTTTTTAGCCTTATAAATCATTTTAAAGAGAAATTCTTGAGTTTTACCAGTCTAAAGACAATAATGGGATCATCTCATGCAGGGATTTTCTTAATTACAACAATTCAGTTATTTCCTAAAAACTTTAAGCCAGGCCAAAGATTGTGCCACTAACACATACAAACAGTAAGCTGCAAATTTTGTGTATATTCACTGGATTTAGCAGTGATAAAGTTTACAGAGAAAATATCAATTAAAGAACTTCAAACTGGTCCTAATACCACCCATTTTTGTATGCATCTCAGAAAAATAATTGTTCATGTTTTGAAATTTCAACAAATAGAATATAATAATGTTCAAGGTGCTACATAATTTTTAAAAACATGCTAAATTTATATGATGCTGCATTACCAGGTGTGACTAAATTATTTCCAAAGGTTATTAAATCACTAATGTTGCAGAAAATTATCCTTAAATAAAATAATCAGCTAGAAAATAAAGAAATTTGGTACTTTTAAAGATCTGAATTGACATTTTGTTTAAAAATTTTATCACATGCTCATGTATAAGAATTCTTTCTAAAAAGATTAAATAGAGAATTACAGATATTTTCTTTGCCTTCAAAATTAGAAATTGTTCTCCAGCTACATTTCAAAATACATTTTCAAAGGAAGAAAGAATATAAAAAGTATTCTCCAAAAGCATTAAAATACACAAAAATTTCTTCTTCTCAGAGTAGACAGAAACATCAAAAGATTACAAAGCTAAAGATTATAGCTTTTTAAATTTTTTATTTATTTTTTTAATTTTTTATTTAATTTTTATTTATATATGACAGTGGAATGCATTACAATTCTTATTATACATATGGAGCAAAATTTTCATATCTCTGGTTGTATATCAGTGTATTAACACCAATTCGTGTCTTTATTCCTGTACTTTGAATAATAATAATCATAGTTTTTTGATGTATATATTTTATCAGTAATCTGAAAGTGTAAATAACAACATTTACTTAATATTCTAAAATATGCATTATTTAGATTAGATACATGATTATCAAACAAAATTAAATTTCAAGGTCAATAATTTAAACAAAATGAAAAAAATTTCAGAGGTATCCTTAAAAGAAACGAATATGACATAAATGAGGACACATAAAAATTTCATAAATGATATGATTCTCAGATTTTAACTTTAATTGTAAACAGAAAATTAAATTGAACTTATGACTTATCACCTTTATACATTTTGGATCTTTGTTTACTTAATACAAATGTCAATAATGTTCCTTGCATTTTATGACTATTATATAATATGTCACTTTAGCTTGTACAGTTATTGTAGCAATTCATATTCTATCCTGCATCACCTGAAATTATGTTATAGGTAGAGAGATTTAGTAGCCTGCCACAAGTTTTAAAAGCAGAAATTGTTAAGCAACTCAATGGAACTTAAAATTTGTGGTTCTATTTATTCACATGCGCCAAGAGACTAATGATGTGGTTTTGAGTTAACATAATTTAAATATCATAATTTATAATTCACAAATGAAACATTAGTTTGCAGGCCTAAAGCTTTATTGTTGTAGAACATAATGTTGATTCTACTGTTTGGATGACACAATGAATTATTACTTTATGAAAATTCTTTCTTAATATTAAAAGAAAATGTTTTGCCAAATGTAAACTTGAAATGTTTCTGAAAACTTCTTACTTGTTTTTCCAGGATCAACTTTGGAGAATCTAACATTACAGACCAAGTAATCTGAAGGTAATAATACAAATGCCCAAGCTCCTGCATGCACGCGCACGCGTGCACACACACACACACACACACACACACACACATTATTTAGGATGCCATATTTGAGATACTTCTTAATCTTTCATAATTTGTTGGGTCTGTTTAAGAATGCATGGTTCTATAGCTTTGCTGCATTCCCAAAAAGTCACATGTACTAATACACTTAGCTGAAGCCTAACATTGGACCTTCCTTAGGAAATATTGGCTCAAGGTTAATAAATCTTCTCTCAAAAGAGTGATTATTTGTCCCCTGATGGTCATGCAGCGATTATAAGACATGATTAAAGTTTCTTTTGTTTTGAGAGTTCTAGACTAAATTATTTTTAATATTTCTGCTATCACAAGTCATTCTAAGATATCAAATAATTTATAAGTATTAGATCCTTCTTCTAGAAGGAGAAATTGAGAATGATTTTGTTAACTTCATCTAAAATCTGCACAATTCAATTCTGCCCCTTCCCTTAGGTCTATTCCCTTAGGGATTTCATCTCATCTCCTGGGCATCTGAACAGGTGGGTATTCAGAAAGACTGATTTGAAGGTTGCCCATATATGTGATAGGAGCATGCTCAATAAGCATGTGGTCATGCAGGTGAAAAGGATCTCCTTTTCTGTTCTAAGAGCTATTGTTATTTTTTATTAATAATTTCATAGTAGTTTAGATATCCAAATAGACCATTTCTTCACCATTAATCAAACTAATTCAATACTTTCTCACTTTTCTCACTTATCATATAAAGCAAAAAGGGACATTAAGAGACCAAAAATTCAATAACTCCTCTGTTTATGATAGTGAGCAGACGACTGAAGTTCAGGTCAGAAGACCCACTCTGCTACTTCTGTGTAGCCATGGGAAAGTTGTTTGAGCTCTCTGGGTCTGTTTCCTCATCTTTAAAATAGGTATAATACTACCTGCATTATAGAGTTCCTATGCAGTTCAAATTGGTTAGTTCATGATCTGGCTTTAATTGAACATTTCAACTTTTATATCATACTACTTTCTCAACATGTATCTTCTGCTCTAAAACTTCTTAAAGTTCTCACCTTCTCTTTTTTTCCTTGTATACAGTGCTTCCTTTCTCTGTCTACTTGGATAACAATCTGATATTGATTGATCAAGACCCAAGGAACATTTCCCCTAATCACCTTCAAGCTGAATCAGCCCAACTCTCAGGCTCATGTTTATTAGTCCAAATCCCTGACCACATTCTTCATTCCTTGAGTCCATAAACTATCCTTTCAACCTTTTCCATCTCACATACACTTGACACATGCCTAACCCAGAGTAAAGAGAGGTAAAAGAAAAAAAGAGAGAGATTAAATTAATGTATGATATGCACAAGTACATTTGGCTTGGTTGTCTGACACAGTAGGCATTCACTTTAGGTTAGTGGAACCTGAAATTTGAATGCTTAGGGAGGGTAGATCCACTGCTCACCATATCACTTCATTTTGAATTTTAAACTTCTGAAACATAACTGCTACTGGTCTTGAAATATGTTTTATAAAGAAAATGAAAAACATCATCAAATGAATCTCACATGTAGTTAGCATACACTGTTAAGAATATTTTATCTTATTTGTATTAAGCTAGCATGAAAGTCTCTCAGCTTACAAATCCCATGAAACAGACAAACTGACATACAATTGTCAATATGCCACAAAATAAAATCCTTCTTCCTTTGTGTGTGTGTGTGTGTGTATGTGTGTGTGCATCTGTATGTAAAGCTATCTCTAAACCCCTGACCAAAATATCATATATTCAACTTTCACAAAGATGACAATATAAATTTACAATATTTAAACCATTTCAAGTCTGAGTCATTTTGAAGCAATATCCTGAGTAGCAATTTACATTGGGGCTCTCATAACACACACATCTCCCTACCCCACCCCACTCCCCGCAGGCAGTAATGAAAATCAAAATAGGAAAGTTAGTCAAAGTAAATAATAAAAGCCAATATTGATTGAGCACCTATTATGTACCAAGAACTGTTCTAAGGACATTATATGTATTCTCTCTTTCAATTTTCACTATAATCTTTCAAGGTAAATATACTCATTACTTTCATTGTTTAAACTGGGAAATGGAGATACAGAAAGGCTAAGTAGCTTTTTCAACATCACTCAGTGAATAAATAGTAGAGTCAGAATTTGAACCCAGGCAAACTCACCCTAGAGTCCACTGTGCCATACTGCCTCACACAAAGGAGCTGTAAAGACACTGAGTTTAGGATATAAAAAGAACAGAACTAAGCACAAAAGACTGCCATCTTTATAAGGACAAAAGAAGGGACTGAGATTCCATATTTAGAGTTGGCATGCATAATAATCCCCATAACCATATGTTTCTAATGACCCCATCATTGGTCTTTCATTTCTAATCATTTGACATTTTTAAGCATGAATCATCTAATGAAAAAATTACAGGGCTTTCTTTTGAACACACTGTTTATTTGTCACCAAGAGATCTCAGATATACTTTAAACAAATTCCTTCTATAAAGGAAAGACTACATACCCTCATGAATGGCATAATCCAAAAATAGAAATTATTTAAAACAGCTCTAACACCTTTTCTAAATTTCCTACATTGTGAAATGACAGCAGTGTCTCCTTTTCAACACTGCCTTCTAGTCAAGGCAAAAAGAAATAAACCATCCCCACATGCTCATATTTGGTGTTTACTTTTCCATCAGTCATCTAAAATGGGGCGCAGGAAAAGGGATGTGTCTGTCTCTGTTAGAAAGAGAAGAAAAGTGAGGGAAAGAAAATTTAATGCAACAAGAGAGTTGCCAGATTTGGAACTGATTGAAAGAGTTTTGTGTCACCAAACATTTTTCAAAGACCTATCAATCTGCAACTCTTTTTATAAACCAACCTGTAATGAGTGGTGTTTCCACACATTTTCTTCACACAGTTGCTTCTGAGTTTGGCAGTGCCTTTGATTTGAAAAAGAATTTCAAACTTTAGATGATCACACAGAACCTTTTTGGCATCATGGAAAAGAATATTTAGATCATAAAGACTTAAAGGAATGTAAGCTAGAGTTCCAAGCACTTAAACTTTCACTACAGAGATGCTGAAAGCCACACTGCTGTGCTTACAACAAGCATGTTTATAAGCAATGCCATTTGTAACTCTAATTAATTAAGAATTGAAAATGATGTAAGAAAGAAAATAATAGATAATAAATTAATATTAAGTGGAAAACAAATTCTGCAGCATATCAAATACATCATCTTAGTGTTCCTATTCACATCTTTTGGACTGAGGAAAAAATTACCTTGGAAAAACCAACAAATCCTTAAAATAACAGAAAAGTGCCAGCACTAACAGTGGTATACTTAGCACTCCCTGGGAAAATTCAAAGAAAGTAGAGTAATGAAATTTGTCACCTGCTGACTGGTTTCTGCTGCTTCAGAAAACAAAGAGTATAGCCGACACAGGTTCAGAACGTACAGCCACAGGGAACAGAATTCCTAATACAGAGTAACTGCCTTCACTACTAACTCAAATAGCATCCCCTCCATCTCTTCCAGACCACTGCTTCTCAAGGTTTGGTCTCCAACCAGGAGCATCAATGTGATCTGAGAACTTTTTAGAAATACACATTCTCAAGATCCACCCAAGACCAACTGAATCACCTTGAGGGTGAAGCCCAGCAATATGCATTTTAGTCAACCCTAAAGATGATTTTAATGCACACTAAAGTTTGAGACACACTACCCTAATTTATGGCATGATCAGTAAAACATAATGAAGTTTGTTAATGGGAGAATCCTAATATTGACCAGTTACTGAGGGTTTACTATGAACAAAGCACTCTCCATGGCATATAGCTTATAGTTGCCTATTTTATCCAGTGACAACTGTATAAAACTACTGGAAATCTTCAGCTAGAGAAGGCATGGTTAAAATTATTTACAAAGAAAAACAAACAATAAAAATGGGGAATTTCTTAAATGAATATCTACTAATAGCAACAAAGACAAAAACCTTAAAAGGCCTTAACAGAGGATTTTTACATATTTTTAAAGAAACTTTTATGGATAAAATAGTTTTACATTTCTAAAATTTCTTTTGAAAAATTGAAAAGTCTAGTGTTCTCAAGGATCAACATTCTGAATTGGTTTCATTCTGATATCATTCATTATGATTCAGAATGGAAGATGAGTGAGTCTAAGTAGTTAGATTGACTGAATACCTTTGGTGACAAGTAAGATGGCAGATATTGCAACCAGATTGTCCTCATATCTGACCAGAACATACCTTCAACACCATCTTTTCTACCTCTGCTTCCTTATGTATCTAGTGGAACCTCTTAGTGTCATTGGACAGAAAGTATAGAAGAATTCAAGACACAAAACATGATTTTGTCTAAGTACTCAAATGACAGAAAATAAATAGCACTTCTCTTTGATCCTTTTAATTAATTTTATCATACTTATTTCTTTATAATAACCTAGGCTTGAAACCTTCATATTTCTTGAGTATTCATTTTTATTCACTCTCATCCAAGAAATCATCAAATTCTAACATTCTTTGTTCAACTCTGTCACTTCCTTTCTATTCCAACTCCTCTCTCAGACCCTCATCATCTCATCCTGTATTATAGTGACAGACTCTAAATCTCCTTCTTTCCATTACACTTTGCTTGAACACCAGTGGCAAAGCCATTTTTACCAACATGCTTCTTTGCTCAAAACCCATCAACACTGCATTCCTGACAGTGTCCTAACTCCCTAGACATAAATGTGAACAACTTCCCAACGTGGCTATGTCTTTATCTTCTATTCATTCTTAATGCAAATCCTAAATTCCAATTACAGTTCTATATTCACTCACCATCTCCTAAACAAGTCATGAATGTTCCAGTATTTCTTCTGCAACTCCCTCTATAGCTTCAGACAAATAGCAATATATGCAAAGTGCCAAAGTGAGAATAGGAATTAAGGTATAGGATAAATTATAGTCTCCTTACTCTCTAGGATTTCATTATAGATCAGTACTTACAACTTCATTATTCTGCCATATTAAATTTACAACTGTTAGGAGAAAATAATGATGTTTAAAAGATTAACATAGATCTTTGCTTAACCTACATAGCAGCACTTGAATTAAATATAAAGCTATTGATAACCCAGATGTCAAGGACAAACATACTGATAACGAAAAAACACTTCTGCTCTGTGGCTCAGCATTGGAATGAATAACAGAAGCACCCCCTATACTTACCAGCACTTATCACTACCACCAGTAGTCTCACCAAAATCACTGTTTAAAGAGCAGGAATTCCCACTTATGCCTGGGGGTGGAAAAACCTCAAAATATCAAAACCACTCATCTGAATTTTTTCAAATATAACTTTTAAAAAACTACCAAGAAACACAACAGTTAAGGCAAAGCAAAAGTGTAATAAAATGCTGTGAGCAATAGGAGAACTATGGATGACAATGGCTAATAATATATTTTAAAATAGCTATGAGAGAATATTTTGAATGATCCCAACACAAAGAAAAAATAATGTTTGAGGTGATAAATATGCCAATTACCATGATCATTACACATTGTATACACACTTGAAATGTCACACTGTGCCCCATAAATGTGCACAATTACTATATGACAATTAAGGACTGATTTGTAAGAAATCAAAATTTTTGAAACAGAAATTTATAAACGACTATAATTAATATAATAAATAAGGCTAAAGAAGAATTTCATTCCTTTAAAAATACTGTTTATAAAATATTCAGAAGAAGAGGAAAAAGAGGAATAATCAGCATTTAAGTAAGTTAAAAACATTGTGGCCAATTTTTTTTAAAAAAATCAATAGTTGAACTAACTCGAAAGATGAATATAGATAAAGATTTGATTAATGATTGGGAGATTTTAAGAAATCTCTTATAACAAGAAGAAAGTCCTAGTAATTTCAATATAATAAGAAAAAGACATTAGGAATAAGTTGCATAAAAAAACTGATACTCTTTACCAACAATCTGACATCCAGTGAAATATTTGGAAAATATTAAAATAAACATGCATTTACAAAGTCAGTTGGAAATAATATCAACATATATAATTAATGATAGCTATCTTATATGCTAGCAACCACAAATTAAAAGATGAAACCTGGGAATATCTCATTAAGAATCTAAAAAGCACTCATAAAATCAGTAAGAATGAAGCCAAAGTAAATGTGTAAACATATTTTTAAAAACTGTCCATCTACAGACATAAAACACTTAAATCCCCGAAAAACACCATGCTCCTAAATGAGAGTTTCGATATCATAAAGGTGTACATTTATTTTCAAATTAATCTACAAATTAAATGAACCCCCATGATTTTAAAATCTATGCTGAACAGATTCATGAAATGAACAAGAAATTATTTTTTAAAAAGATGAATATTGATTGAAACTTTGGCCTAACGTATAACTACAATAGAAAAAACTAGCAAGGTATTAATTTAAGGACATATAGATTAATGAGTTAACAGGATAGAGTCCAGTCAAGGATCCATGTGTATGTGAAATTTATGTTGATAATAATTTTTTCTTTTACTGAGCTCTACCTCAGGCTCCTCTGAGCTCTTTGTCAACTATGCCTGAAATTTCAGGTTTTCAAGCTTGTTTCTGTGACATAAGTAGTTTAGTCATCCTTAATATCTATCCTCCTTAATATCTAAACAGTTTCCTCATCCTCCACCATCCCCAGGTGATATCCATCACCCTTAGCCTGCCTTGAGCAAGATTCCTATTACGGCAAATTTAACCAGAATCTCTCCTACCCCTAATGTTCTCTTTTACTAATTTTCTGTTCACTCACTTCAATCCTGCTCGTTGGCTATAAATTCCCACTCTATTTTGTAATCATCTTTTCTCTCTTTCTGCAAGGTTTATTACAGTAATTCCTCCACCTATCATAACAATCCCTCCTTGAATAAAGATTCCTTTACTACCTTTAACCACTTTTCTTTAACAGAAGGTACACCTTCCCACAATACACAAAGCCCAGGAATCAGAAAGGAAAGACTCACTACATTAAATGACTAAACTAAATGAATACATTAAAAACCAAATATTGTATTTGGCAAAACAAAACAAAAATAGCATAAGAAAAGCTAAAATGCAAGCAATTAAGGAAAATTTGCTATTTATAAAATCCATAATGTTTAAGAGTAAAAATTTCCTATAATCTAACAGAAAAAATAGGCAAAGTGTTTCAACAGTGAAGGCAAATGGACAAAATGACCATTCTCATTTTTGATCTAGGAAATGAAAGTTCTTGTGTTGGTGCAATGCAAATGCCATCTCCCTTTGCCAATCAGATTAGCATAATTTACAAAGACTTATATCCAGTGTGGGTCAAGGTATGCTGACATAAGCATTCTTGATTTGATTTTGAATGGAGTAAAAATTGGCAGTCTTTTGAAGAAGTTTTGAAGTTTATACTAAAATTCAAATTGTGCATGCCATTCTTAACGAGAAATAATTTATACTAGAGATACTTTTTTGAAGGAATTTATGCTAGAGATACTTTCATAAATAAGACAACTTACAACTTTATCCTAAATATCTTTTTCATCTGGACATTCTTTATGTCTTTTTTAATTCTACTGATACTCTTACCAAATTATTTGTCAATAAAATAGAGATCAAAAGGGGCATTCATCTGTTACATTTCATTATTGACTTAACAGTTTGGTAGAAATTAATTATATCATTGAATTTTATGCATAAACTATATTTTTGTAACAAATCTTGTGTTCTGAAATTTCTAGAAAGTAAGCAAAATGTTAGTTTGAGTTGGAATTTTCTAAATAAAATTTCATAAATCAACCAGTATAGAAATTTACTCTTGTTGACATTGCCATCTACAACAGTAGTGTGAACCTCCCAGTAGGAAAGAGAGAAAATGACTTATTAATATGAAATGAGAAAAGCATTCTATATCTTGGAATCTGGGGG